TGACAAACAAGCTGACGGCTCATCCCTTATCTGAAACACTTCTTACAGGACAAGTAGTATTACTATTGGCGGATATAATAGTCGAGACTAAAACGCGTAAACCCACGTGAGCGTTTTTCTGCAAAGTAGACTTTGACTCAGTAAAATAGATAACTAATTCTAAATATATCAATATCAAATGTCTTCCAAATTATATTAGTAAGTAAATTATATTATACGTAAACACGTATGAAATGGGATAAAAAATGTATATTTTAATCACAATAGCCGCAGTTATTTGAAAAAAAAAAAGGCATGACTAAACGAGCGGCTTGCTCCACTCTACAGGGCTCGACATCTAGCCGCGCTGGGCTGGCCCTGTTTTGTTAACAATTGAAAGTCTTTCTCTTTTGCATAAGTAACAGTTCTATGGCATTGTTAATGCAAGAAAGGATTCGTTACATGGCATATTCCTTATATGCTTTGAACTTTATAGGATAACCATTTCCGAATAGTTTTCACTGAAAACAAACCGTATCACTTGTAATAGGAACCATCAAAATTCACGATAAATTGTTAAAAAACATCTTAGTATCATCACAAAAACGTGTATGTGAATTAACAACTTCCTTCTTTTTGAGTTGTTTATAAATACAGCTTAAAACCTATCAATTAGGTTATTATATTAAGCAATTACTTTGTATAATATCTCATTTTACTGCCTGCAGTTTTTTGCGTGGAACCGTAGGTCAATAAACGCACCAATAATGGACAGACATGATCTCTCCCTAGCTTTATCTGTTCAATCTTTGCAAAAAGTCGTCCTCTTCATTGATCTTAATTCTGACTAGACTTAGAATCATAATGTTTCAAGTTACTTTCTAAAGGCATTCACTGTTCTCTTTAATGGTATATGTTGTTTATAAAATTACATGTCATTCGTATAGACGAATAACTATGGTTTGTAGGCTCCCCTATAATGAGTATCGGGGTAATTTGAAATACATCAAAGATTGTTTGGAGTTATTACAAATTGGTAATTGTACAGATGAATTTATCAAATTACTAAACTAATACTATAATAATTTCCTCTTCTCAGTTTGAAATGTTTACATGTCGGTCTAAGGTTATAGGTGCACTTCATTAGGTGAGACGTTAAAATCAAAAGCTTTTTAACTAGAAAGCTCCACATGCTTTTTAAGTATGAACTATTTTTTCATCCGTTTATTTTTTTGGTAGACAGAAGAAATTAAATAGATAGAGTTACTCTTAATTATTAATTTGCTGGAGTCCAATTAGCAAATATAATTTCTATATAACATTAAAATTAATTTCACGTAATCTAAACCAACATGGCTAATTCACCAGGTAGCATAAAGGTTATTTTACTATTAATAGGTTTAGGGGTCCTTGTTAAAATAATTTCCTAGGTCTTTGTCCAATCGATTAGACTCCCATTACTGAATCAGTGGTCATCTGCCACCCACGCAATATACTGTAAAGCGAAAATTCAATATTTCTAAAACGCACCGGTGAGATCCTGTCCCATCTGATCGTAGCGTAGATAACCTTTCGCAAAACAACTTTCTGATAGTCCCTGATTGTGATCGTACACGAACAGAAGTTTCTTCCTTTCGCTGCGGCAGGTAATCTAGATTTGACTTGTCTTGGACGGCGACCTCCTTGTCTACCATGCTATCGGTACGGTCGCTGGTGCGTGACGGCTGCGCAGGCGCAGTGCCGCCATGGCGGTGTGGTGCGGCGCGCGCATTCTGCCGCTTGAACGACGGGTGTACTCTATTACCCTGGTGGTGCGTGTGTTTGTTTGTATTATGTAAAGTGCTATTAGATTTGTGTTCAGTGGTTCCTAGTAATCTCCATTTACCTACAATGTTTATAAAAGTATTTTTGGAAAACTTAATTTTATAGTCTTTTCTTACATAAATATAAAAATATATGAAATTGAGATGGCTACAATTTATGTTCTATATTAAAAAGCGAAAAATTAAAAGGGTCATATTAGCTACTGCTCTGGATAGTATAGTAGCATTAGCTAGTAGATACATTATTAGTAATATTATACAAGATTTAAAACTAAATATAGATATATGGTTCTTGTTTTACGTGAATTGATTGTTAGATTATTAATAATGTACTGAAAAAAGTATAATTGATACAAGAACAATTTAGTTCCTTATTATTGTATCTTCAAACGTCTTCTTTTATTAGTGACAGTAAAATTTATTATTGGGTGGTCGAGAATTTAAATCTAAATAAATACATATATGAACGTCATGTTTGCTCCATTTCGGTGTCATATTATATTTTTTTAAAAATTCATGTAAATAATGAACTTATGTACATGTTAGCTGAAATCTTGAGAACCCGCGTAAATTTTCCTATTTTTCAATTACATGGCCATGGGAAATTTAAAAAAAAAGTATTGTAAAATTTAATAATTTAACTGTTAAGTAGTGTTTTTATTAGGGTAGGTAGGGTAAGTAACAAAATCTTACTGTAAAATTAGTAACTACATTTTTCAAATTTTCTTGATTGTACCGTCCTAATGAATTTTAAATGCAGTAATAGATTACTATTATTTTGGAATTTCAAGCTTTTAAGTTGATTTATAACTAGACATTATATTACAGTCACGATTTGTTTTATCGGGATCACATCAAAAGCTTACAGAAGCCAACTGTTTATCTATTATCTCTGATGTTTGGTATCGATTGGTCTTCTCGATTGAAATATTATCGTGATGGCCTGAATCGATATATCATATCGATGTTCATTGATATATATAAACGATATGCGTTTGTTAGCTGATTTTTTTCTTACATTTCTTTTGACCTCCAACAGAAGATTCTTATAAACCTTCGTTTCGAACCGTTCTTTGGAAAAGATTACAGGAAATTTTTTTTCTAAACTCTAGATTATTTGAAATGGTGACATGTCAACCATTTTCTTGAATGATCACTAAAAATATTGAGAGCCTGACGTGATCCTGTTCGACAAGTGCGTTTTTATTTTTGATACTTTAAAATTAACACAATGGTTTTTTCTAACTTATTCAGTTTTATGTATTATAGGTATTTAATTAAATAATACTAATGTTATTGATTTAATTTATTTTAATTTTATACACTTTGTTATATAGACATAAGACTAAACACAGTAAAACAAGAAATAGAATTAAAAGGAAATAGAATTCTACAGTAGAAGCTACGAGTATAGATTAAATAGACATAAAAATAGCCGAACAACTGCAGGAATCGGAAAGTCTAATATTCTCTCGACTTAAAAGACTTGATATCCTTGAGATAAATAAGGGAAAGATAAGCAGACAGCATCTGAGTGTAGATTCATTCGAACAGCCTCATAGTTTGAAAGTCATTCAAGAAAAATAAGAGATAAATATAGACAGAGATAAATATAACATCAGATTGGACATCAGTTCCAAATGAACAGATTGCTATTATGAAGCATAGAAAGAAAAAAAAATACAGCCTGTATATTAATTTTTCTTCTTCTTTAAATACAAGTTAAAACTTTAGATTAATTCCACTGTATTGTAATAGTAAATTGTGTTAACTTGCATAAGAAACCAACATGTGCTACATGAATGACTTTTGAATTTGACTGATACTACTAGATGTACCTACTTGTCATACCGTATTACAATTCTCAATTTATTATTGTTCAGCTAGCCTTCGACCGGGTTAGTGATCTCACTGTAAAATCGTAGGCCACGACTGGTGAGATTCATCTCTACTCGTGTATAGAGTAATCGATTTATCGGTGAACTAACCAAGGTCTAGTTTTTACATATTATCGATTGTGTTTGTTATCTCGCTTTAATTTAAACGAAAATATTACTTATTTCTTTTTTTACAAATTACATACAAAACAGTACCCTGAATCTATGTATGTAAGATGTAAGCTTATTAAATTAGTTTTGTTAATAATTTATAAGTTCCCAATATACTAGCAGTATTGCAAATGAACACGTGATTTGAATACTTGTCATTTGTATTGACTTCTTTTCAGTTTTCTTGGCTGAAACCCTAAATTTAGAGGAATATTTTGTTTATGTTTAATAGAGAAATTGAATTATTTTTAATAAATATTATTCATAATTTTTAATAAAATTTACTATCGTGAGAATACAGTTAATTATATAAACGAATGTCGTTACAAGAGAAATTGCTATATTTATGTTTTCAATAGCTTTGTTACGTTAAGTTATTTGCTATACAGTTTTAATTTGACTTTCTCTATTGTGTTATTTATCTTTCACTCTTTGGTGTGTCGCGAAATAAAATTACATTTTATTTACTGCTTTTTTGGCATTTTAATTATTCCTTCACACGGGTGCCAAAAAAGGAATATTGTAATATAACTTATGTATACTATACGTATGGTATCCTGTAAATTTTAAATGGCACCAATATCCTTAATAATAAGTAAGTCAGTCAGGACTTACCATAATATACTATTAGTATAGATTATATAGGTGTTATTCTCGTTAATTTGTACAAAAAAAGCATTTACATAGAAATACGAGATACCGCAATAATTTAGTTCTTGTTTGAATTCTTAAAAATATCGTCTCCTGATATCCTGGATTTGTGTTACATAACATGATGTCTTCATCAATTCCGAACGAATTTTGTTTATAATCTTTGTTTGCTAGAGGAATATTGAATGTTGTAATGATAATAAAAAATATTGAACTGTTTTCCACACAATATTTTTATTGTAATTATCGTGGAATATACGAAAAGATAATTTGTATAAAGTTACAAAAATAATCAAAACAATATCATAGCTCTATGTTCGACATTCCATTTTCAAAAATATTCATTTTATTTTTAAGTAAAGTGTAATGGCTATTTATTATCGGAAAGTCTTTAAAAACATACTGATGTTGTTGAAATATTGATTATATTATAAATTTATATTTAATTCCTACATCATGATTTTCTTTTTATAATAATTTCCATGTTTTTTTTTTACAGATAGACCCAAACACAGCCTTCTTGAGGGCCGCACGCGCCGGTCAACTCGATACTGTCGTCGACCTGCTGGACTCCAGCGCCGTTAAAGACATCAACACATGTAATTCTGTAAGTATATCATATAAATAATTATTCAGATATTTGGAATCGTAATCCATAATAAGATTCTGAGGTGAAAGTACATGGGACTATTATTGTGATTAGGGTCTAATTGTGTAAAGATGTTTTTTATTTAATTGTAACAGTTTAAAATTAGTAAGTTTTTAGTTTTATTTTCTATGAACCATCATAGAGTTGCAGATGCGTATATGGTTCGCAATTTTCAATCAAATGTTAATAATCTCATCTTTACATACTTTTGCCGTTGCTGGAAACGTATTCCAATGCACTGACATTGGATAGCGCATTTTTGCAGCTTTTTATACTCGTAAATTATAAACTATTACTTATTAATTTTATATTTCGAAGTCAATTGAAGCTTTACCTGACATTGTTATCGATTTATTGGTTTTAGTCTTCATTACCTGTGTTTTAAAAGCACATTACAAAAATGGATTTCATTCAATTTGTTATTGTGATTGTACTCCAGAGTAGACTTGCTAAACCATAGATCATAAGTGCTATTCGATATCATAACCATTTACTAGTATCATGTAATCTGTGGTACTAAAAGTTTTATATTGGATTTTTTTATTTTATTATGTGTGAATCGCTTGTTTGTTTAAATATTCTGTAAAATGCGCTAAACCTATATACCATACAGTCTCTTGAACAGTTGCTAACGGGTCAAGCGGTAGAAAGTGGTAGTCGTGACCTGCCCGCGCGTTACGAATCCTGAGAAGTAATGTGCTATGCCTACCTATCCTATAATTGTAATGTCATATCAGAGTCTTAAAACTGGAACACAACAAACTGCTGCTGGCGCAGACAACTATTTTTTTAATGGATGATAAAGGACCAAATCCATTCGCCTGCACTAACACTATACGCTGGCGGGGCACAGGAAGATGATAGTATGAGCATAAAATCAGCTTTGTTAAACCATCCCATTGGAGCGAATTCACCAGAAACTAACCAGGATGGTTCCCAAGGGGAAACGCGTGGCAGTCAATCTAACATGGTATTTTGCTAATAGTGGGTCCATATATGGACTAACAATCGCCTAACTCCCACGTAGACTACGTGGTATAGAGTTTGTCTCTGGCCTCCCTAACTTTATATAAAAAAAGTAAAAAAAAAAATAGAATTTCGAATATAATTCTTTTACGTCAAGTTGTTATTACAAGTACACTATCGTATTTTAATCAGGATTAGTCGTAATGGCATCGCCAAGCCGGAACCCAGAACCCGGAACATATTGATGTTGAAATTTATTGGAACAGTAACTAGTGTTTAATAACCATAACATATGAACGGTACGTCGAGTAACTACAGTTATTTTATTTATATATTTATCATCCGACGTGGTTATTATCAGGGATGGGAAAAAATAATCGACTGTGGGAAAACAATTATTATTCAATAATCAATTAATTCTTATTGACTCTAATATCTAAATATATCAAATAGATTAATGAATCTATTAATATATATATTTTTAATATAAAAGTTCATTTCATTCACAGATGTTTAATTAGATTTGTCATCCAATGAAAAAAACAACGAATCGATTTTTATGTAATCGATTCATATGTTAAATAAAATAATCGATTTTTTATATAGGATGACACATCCCTAGGTATTATGCACCATAGATATATTTAGGTCAACGATTTTCTAAAGCGACATGAACATTAACAAACTAATATTTGTACATGAATCAATTCAACAATGCACTATTATGATAGCGAACTGTAAACAGTAATGTAATATGTATCATTATTAGTGCATACTAGTTGTTACTCCTGGCTTTTGCGAAACTATTAATTAATTGACTGAAATAAAAACGGTATGTCCTATTTATTTCTAAAAACTACGTATTTAGAAATAAACTAATAAATATATATATATTATACATACATACTTATATTTTAGAGAGTCGTTATATTTTGGAAGTAGGAAAATTATCGCGGAATTGTTACTAATTTTCAGATATTCTCTGGATATAATTTTATTACTGCATTATTCCAGGGTGACTTAAACTTACCATATGTTATGTTTATATACAATAGTAACGGTTTACGCTGGCAGGTACCAGTGGATGATGATTAGATGAGCATGAGGTCAGGTCAGTTAGCCCATCCCGGCAAATTCACAAGGAACTTATCACGATGGTTTTCAAGGAGAATTGCGTGAAGATCAACCTGATATGGTACATTGCTAGCAATGGGGTGATCAGTCCACATTACTAACAATCCCAATTCCTGGAACACTAGTATTAATACGTATGTCTATTTGCTTTCATGTATCTATTTAATTGGTTCTGACTGGACGCTGTTATATGATAGTTATACTTCTGGCTCTGTATGTCATCCGTCTGCGTCCGCCGTTGAATTACTTGTAAATATAAAAAGAGAAATTATAATTTTACTACCGTAACATAAAATATACATACAATTTGCTTTAGTGCAAACCAATAACTCTTAACTGAAGATAAAAAATAATGTTATTAAGTCTTTTTCAAATTCAAAAAGTACATATTAATGTTATCGATTTGAATGTTTAGTTACTAACTGAGCCCGTGACTTCGTACGCGTTACATTTTTTTTGTTTATGAACCGGTTGAAATAATACCAAAAAATAAAGTTTAATGAACAATAAACAATTCATTATTGAAAACTGCATCCAAATCGTTTTTTTTTTGTTTTTAATATTAGAGCACATAAACAAACTGTCAAATAGGGAAAAATTGTAGAAAAAAAATTAATCCGTTTTCTCATATATCTTTAGCGGTCAGTTTTATTTTTGTGAAAGTTTTTAATATGTTGAGCAAATAATTAAGTAATTAGTGCCTACTAGGGATAAATTTACTTATTAGGATATGCGTAAAGAAAAGTGGGCCGGTTGGTCAGTCCTTACATTTTATGACTCTGTTTATTTTAATCGTTTAAAAGTATGTTGAAATCGACGGCCGAGTTATTATAGTTAATGTGTGAAATGGTTATGTTTTTACACTTTAAGTATGTTAAGAATACAAGCGAAAGCTTTAAATGTATCTAGTTATTGCACGACATTGTTCGAACATTCAACATTTCATTTAATCTCTTATAGGATAGTATTTTTCTTCACACTTCACTTACCTCTTAGTAGCTTATTTTTACCTAACTTTTCTATTCTATTCTATTCTATCCTTTGCGATTAATATTTAAGGTCAATACTAGTTGCGACAATACTTGTGCATACTAGTATTTATTACATAAAGTAACTAAATGTGTTACTTGACTGACACCTGAGTATATAATTCCCAATGGGTTGATTTCAAAGTGCTACTTAATAGTAGGTATGTCAGCTCTCCAAGGTACATTTAACCGTATTAACCATTGCCTATGTATATGCACTCTCCCAGGAGGTATTTATTGTACTATAAAGCAATTAAATGTGCAAAAATACGTTTTCTACCCTTTAAAAAAAGAGGGGAATAGCCGTTCTTTTACTATCGGTACTACTCGATTGTATTTTTGTTGTATGAATATTGCGTAATAAACGCTTTATTTTTTATTTTTTTTATATTCCGTTTTACTTAATGTGTCATGTGAAACGTTTAATAAATGAAAGAACTTTAAAAATACACTAGGTATTTTTTTGTTATATATTTTTCCATTAGAAGTCAAAGTCAAATCTTTCTTCTATATAATATTTGTATAGACTAGCGGGTCGCTAGTCTATACTGTTTTAGAGCTCTGACAATACATCGGTACAAACATACAGAAAGACAGACAGTCTAAAATTCTTAAAAATGTTATTATGGCTTACTAGCTGTGCCGCGTTTTCATCCGTTTGGAATATAACCTTGGATAGCGTAAAATATTTAATAATTGACTCCAAAAAGTAAAAGAAAAAAATTACATCGTTCAGCTTTCAAAATGTTTAATTTTTTTTTAACAAATTCCTTAAAAACTTTCATCTCCTACTCAATTGTACTTCCCTTAAGGGTAAAATTTGTACAAACTTTGATTGTCATAATTATTTATATTCAATCAATAGCCTAAAAAATAAGTTTCAATCATCTAGCTTTAAAAATGACGATTGTTTATATGAATATATTATATATATGTATGTTATATATCTATATCTATTTAATATATTATATATTTTTATTTAATTAATTAAACTTGTCTCTGCGCTCTTAAGGTTGGCTGGTAGAACTAATGCTAATAGCATTAAGCCCCCTATTGTAGAATTAAATAAAGTTTAAATATATACATCATAACAATTCCATACAACTTTTTATCACCCCTTTCAATACTTTACAAACCTTTTTCGCATTAAAAAATAGCACAGACTATTTTTAGTGGTCCTCTGTTAGGGTATAGACTATCTGTGTACTTAATTTTATTTAAATCGGTTCAGTAGTTTTGGCGTGATAGCGCAACAGACAGACAGAATTACTTTCACATTTATAATAAGGATTAAAATATAAAATTTAATGAAAAACTTGCTAAATGATATCGTACCTATTTAATTGTATAGAGGATCATCGGTAGATCATAACAGAGTCATTACATGGTGTGTAATGTGCACGTATGCACTCCATCAGATAAGTGTCCGACCTCGAGCGTCGAATGAGCACATCCCGGTGCAATCTAGTGTATGAAATGACAGGAACTGTTAGATCACACTGTTGAAGGTCGTGTTTTCATACCAACGGTGATTATGTCACCCGGATCAGCATTCCCATCATTTAATGCTTCCCTTTTTTCACAAGGAACTTCCTCGTAGTTTCATAACATTGCTATTATTTTGATAATATCAGTTTTCCATATAGGAATATTATATTAATATTTGTATCAATATGCGCTAGCATTCTGTATCTAATAAGTAATGATCTGAAATGGTATTAAAACATAATGTTAATGGCTATTCCAAATATACATCGGTGTATAAATTAATCACATACATAAACATTTTATTTGTCTATTATAAAGAAAATGTTATTATGGTAAAGTATGTCAGTTAGTAGAATAATTTCATTAATATTCGTAGCATAATGGGTGGGATTACGCGATCGCTGGCAGCTCTGTGAAAAAAAAAGAAAAATGAGTTTGAAACGAGGCGCCATACCTGACCTTATTTTATAACAAAAAATGTTTCTTATTAGTTATAAAAAAAAAAGAAATCGTAACGCCTATAGTTATATTATAGCGGTAATCTCAAAAACAAAAACAGAGATAGTGACAGACTTTGTTATTGGATGACTGATTATTTGTACGATTTATTAGTGAATTAGTTATTTCCAACAAGAAACTACAAGTCTAGGCAATATTATTTCTTTTTATAATAACGCAATTAATCTAATTTCATACCAACAATTCTATTAATTAAGAAGAATATTTAAAATCATTTTAGAGTTAGCGATGATTTGAAAGTAAAGATTTTAAGTCTTGAAATTATGGTCCCTACGCCAACCTTCTTAAACAGATTTTAATCATAGATAACATTCCAACTTGATAGACAATGTTAAATTTGTCGACTCTGAATTTACTCTTTCCTATTTTTTGTATTGAATCACCGAGGTAGACTTTATTCAAAGTCGTTTGATGGGTCTAATAGATCAGTGTCCCGCCTATTTTATACGCCAACTTGCTTTGTAAGGTGTATTTCAGTTGAAGGTTCAGATACAGAGGCACGACATCTTTTTCGTCCGGAAAGGCAAAACATGCGTGGTGTTATGTGATATCGGGAGGTCCGTGCCTCTTCAGGTGCATATATATGCGACGATTACCACTTACCATAAGGTGGTCAGTTACCTTTGAATACCATTCCAATTACTTAAAAAAAAGTCCCTTAAAATGAGTATCCCTAGTCACAACAATTCTTAGAAGTAATCGGATTTCAATCATAGATAACGTTCTGTCTTGACAGACTCTTGCTTTATCGTTAACATTCTACAGCAGAAATAGCAGACATTATTTAAAGAAAATTCTGTAGAAAGTATCTCACAGCCCGACCCAATTAATCGGCATGTTCGTTAATTAAGTAGAAAATCAGAAAAGTTTGCAGTACGCAGTGAGAGAGTGAATTTTTTTTGGATTCCATCAACGGTATCCGGGTGGGAATCAACGGTGTCTACCATAATCCCTGTCTTTATAAGCGACGTGTTATTGTTTTCTCTTGTCATTAATACATAATGGCAGTATATTAAAATCTGCAGATCATAGTCATGGGTATACTGTACAATAAAATGAAAGAAAATATATTCGCACGTCATAATTATGATAACTTTAAAATTTTGACATGTAGCAAAAACACAGTATAAATTACCATACGCTTGATGCTTAACTTATTAGATTTCTTAAATTCATCGAAATCGGTAGTTTAATTGTGTAGGATCTTCTTTTTATTAAATATTATGAAAGTATATATTAATTATATACTTTACTTTAAAAACACGTGTTCTTTTAATATGGCCTATGTTTTCCTTTTTAAAATTCAGCTAATATTATTCTCTAACAAAACACTATTATCGGCGGAAAAAAAATTCCTCATGCCACGGAGGAGTAAAAAGAGTATGGCAAATACTGGTATATATATTTTATTTGCAGTACATCTATTAGCATTTGTATACTACAATAGGAAAACTTTTTGCAGTCGCTTGTATTAATATCATGGCTTGCAATCGTGGACAACCTTGGTACTTCAAAAACATACGTTACGGTCAGCTAGACATCGTGTTACACTAACGTTAATGGACATATGCTATCATATATTTTAATATGTGTAATAAAATAAATATTGCATTGAAAGCGTAGCTGGCCTAGTGGTTTATAACACTGAATTACATGTAAGAGGTCGTGAGTTCATATATGGCTGAAATCAAAAAATATTGATATCTAAATATAATATTAGTATATATCGGAGAAGTAAAATAATACCATTTATTTACAAAATAAAGAAAGACAACTCTTATTTATTACTTTTATAAATAAATATGTTAGGTCAATTAACGATTCTAGATCTTGAAGTTGCAAAAAAATCTAACTTACTAACAAGGTAACTTATTATCATTGTAACCATTCAATCATGATTGATTATTGATTCATTTTTTGTACACGTCAATTTATGTTTAATTTCGTATGTTTCTAAAAAATGAAAATAAATCGCTTGTAAAAACATAGTTTGAAGGTAACGGCAAAAGCAGTCCTCAAGCATAGCGATTAATAAATTATGTCTCCATACCTAGTAAATTTACCACCATATCTATACAAATTTAAGTGTCCGTTTGTAATTTCTAATTAACAGCTTTTCGGTCGGTACTTAAATGAAAAGAATAATTTAATAATTTTTATCTGTTTGTTCTTGAATTTGCAAAAGAGAGATTACTCTCAAACGGCTGAACCTATTTTGAGAGGACTTTCATTCACAGATAGCTAATATTAGAACGAGTAACTTAGGCTACTTTAATTTGAGATTTTTTTTTTAAATCGCGTGGATGAAGTCTTGTAACAGCTAGTCATTGTATAAAGGTATACTTTAAAACACAATACAGTATATTTCTTCTGTATAATTCTTATGTATTAATTCGATTGGTGCAATAAAGAGTTTATAAATAAAAAAAAAATAAAAATATATTCCTATGTAATGGCAGCAAGCACATTTGCTTGACTCCAGAAGAGGTACCCTTGTAGGTGTTGATATTCTTCACCTTTTAAATCTGTTTTTTTTTATTATTTCAGAACGGGTTGAATGCTCTACATCTAGCTGCTAAAGATGGACACATTTCAGTAGTCGAAGAGCTTCTCAAACGTGGCGCAATCGTCGATGCCGCTACAAAAAAAGGTACTATAACCTATCAGATTTTTTTTATATTACAATGGTTTGCCACCATACACAAGCATAAATAAATCCTTATCGGTTTTTTTATAAATATTTATCTTTAGTCTGAATTTGTCATTGATAATCAATCATTCCCCTCCGATTTATCCCCGTCCAATTCAAATGGGGATGTATTAAGACGGCCTGACTCTCGGTCGAACCTCGGTTCGAACCTCTAGCGGTGCCCTCAGACTAAAGTCGTAACTGTCAGGCGAGAGATGGCTCTCCGCCGCTCAAGCCTGACAGATACGAAAATTCACGCGGCTGAAACCGCGGGCACAGCTAGTTAATCACACTTTCTCTACACCACTTATGGCTGACTGCTAGATAACGTCGCAAGGTGTTAAATCCGTCATATGTACACATTATTTTTATGGATATATGAAGTGAAAAGTAAATAAATAATAATATATATTTTTTTTTCAGGAAACACAGCACTACACATAGCATGTCTGGCGGGGCAGGAGTCAGTTGCGCGGGCGCTGCTGGCGGCCGGCGCGAAGGCAGATGCACAGTCGGCCGCCGGATTCACACCTCTGTACATGGCGGCGCAGGAGAATCATGCCGGTTGCGTCAAGATGCTGCTGGCAGCTGGCGCCAGCCAAACTCTAGCTACCGAGGTGAAATGTTTTAATATTTATTTTCTCATTGAACATGAAGACGCGTAGTTGTATTTTTTTTATTTAAGACTAATCGTGAAATGACTATTTACATTTTTTACAAAAAATATATATTTATTTCAAGAAATCTTCAACAAATATTTATTTCAATATAACACACTGATAACAAACCAAAATCTGATCTGGCCTTACAGTCAGGAATGAAGAAATATCTATTTCCGATATAAGTCATCTTGATGCTCTAGTGTACATATTTGTACCAGAGTAGAAGTTAGCAGCTCTTAAAAGTGCTATAAAGTATGGCTAGTGGGTAAGAAGAAGTAAGAGGAGGAATAAATAGACGAGCGATTTTGCTTTATACTATCTTTACATAATTATTTCATTTTGTAGGATGGCTTCACACCTCTAGCAGTATATTGGGGCAATGACCGACACAAGAGGCAAAGTCCGGTTGCCGGCATTACACATAGCAGCTAAAAAGAACGACGTGAAAGCAGCCACATTATTATTAGAGGTAAATATTATCATTTTTCTTGTGGATGGAACCACAACTTACACTAGCGCCATCTAGTCCCAATCTACTTAACTAAATATAGATTTAAAAGTAACAAGCATTTATTATAGATCTAATAATAATATTTTTTTTTTCCACAAAAAAAAAACATTGTATAAAATATATAAAACAAAACAAATATTTTTGATTTGATTTGTTTTGTTTAAATATATATATAATATACTCGTAAACACGAAGTCATTTACGCCTTAGAATAAAAATAGAATAGAATAAATTTTATTACATCACAACACAACTACGATGATGCATGCAGCAGCATATAAATGATTATATGATATAAATTGTAATAAAAATACTTTAAATTAGAGATAATCTCATTACATAAAAATAGGAACAAGAAAATCAATTAATAACAAACAGAAACTCAAAAATAAATAAGATTATATATAACTTTTAGAACATACATTTTTATCATAATTATAATCGCATTTAATCTTTAGTATTGATATATTTATTTCAAGTTTATAGGCACAAATCATATTAATTATTTAAAGATATATTGTGATCATTATCTCACTCAGAAACTAGGTGGTGCTGTCACTATATAGTTCGCTGCTGCTTACCCTGCTATTGTTTAGCGGGGCACGCTGCTGTTGCTAACAATATTTCTAACTTTGAACATTTCAGAACGAACACAACCCAGATGCATGTTCGCAGAGTTACTGGAATCCCGCACACTACGGCAACGTTGGTGGGCAAAGTCTCGGTTGCCGGCAAACATTCACACATGGCCAGCAAAAAAGAATCTGCTCATCGAGAATGGTATAAAGAAATTTTCTATGGCTAAATTATTATTTATATCAGGGCACTAAATATTATCATTTTTATTAGATGGATTGGAACCACAAACGTTTTAAAAAACAAAACTAGTTTTCAAAATAGTTTAATCCATTTTTAAAAAAATATATAAACAATATACTTTAGAAAAGTAATTTTCTATATTTATATAGATTTAAAAGTAACAACCATTTATTATAGATATTTTCTAATAAGCACTTAATATTTTTTTGTAAATTAAACATATAAAAAAAGCAAGTAAATTAAAAATATAAAAATAATATATAAAACAAAACAAATATTTTTTTAATAATCGATTTGATTTGTTTTTTTAATGAGTTTAAATATATATATAATATACTCGTTTGTAATTACATAATAATTTAAAATATCGAACGAATCATTTACGTCTTAGAATAAAAATAGAGAGAAATAGAATAAATTTTATTACATCACACATCACAGTTTGTTTTTACACAACTACGATGATGCATGCAGCAGCATATAAATGATTATATGATATAAATTGTAATAAAAATACTTTAAATGTAGAGATAATCTCATTACATAAAAATTTCAGAACAAGAAAAGCAATTAATAACAAACAGAAACTTTTAAAAATAAATAAGATTATATCAAACTTCTAGAACATACATTTTTATCATAATTATAATCGGATTTAATGTAGGTACTTTTCTTTCAGGATTGATATATATATTTCAAGTTTATAGGCACAAATCATATTAATTATTTAAAGATATATTAGTGCATCATTATCTCCTTTCATCAATGAAACTAGATGGCGCTATATTAGATGAATATATTTTTAATACGAATATATATTTTTGTTCATCAACTTTATCCCTTACTAACAATACTAGTAGTAGTACATAACCTGGTTTATACCGCTAAAGATATTGAAAGATATACGACAATATTTCTAACACACATTACTTGAACATTTCAGAACGAACACAACCCAGATGCATGTTCGAAGTCCGGTTTTACTCCCCTCCACATCGCCGCACACTACGGCAACGTTGGTGTGGCAAAGGCGCTGTTATCATTATAATATTTTCTCGTTAAATTTTATTGATAGCACTAAATAACGTGTTACCCCGACTCTAATAATGAAAAACCTAGACGACGTTCAGCTTACAAACACTTTAAAAATTACGATATCCTCATATAGCCTTTCATTTCCCCTTTCAATACTTTTTCGCATGCAAATGGGGACAACTCGCCATTTCAATTAATCTGCTCGTCGAGAATGGTATAAATACATTTTCTATGGCCAAACTTGTATTAAGTTTATATCAGAGTGGTACAATTTAAAAAATACTTATTCGGCAATTTATGTATTTATTACTCTGTTTTAACAAAACAGAATATATAAAAATAAAAAAATAAAATAGAATAAAGCGAATGCATATATATTTTATGAAGGTACAAAAGGCGGTCTTATCGCTTAAGCGATTTTGTTAAGATAAATTTTGATAGAAAAGACAGAAGGTGATGGATGGCACATGAATTGAATCAAAGAAATGTAAATAATAATAGTGATATATCAAATACATACGTATATTGTAAACATATAGATTTTCACCATAATATTTTCTTGTATGGGATAATGTGATATATCAAGTAGCAATGGTAGCCTGTAATCATAGTAATAAAAAAAAATAGAATAAACCGAATGCATATATATTTTATGAAGGTACAAAAGGCGGTTGTTATCGCTTAAGCGATCTTGTTAAGACAAAATTTTGATAGAAAAGACAGAAGGTGATGGATGGCACATGAATTGAATCAAAGAAATGTAAAGAATAATAGTAATATATCAAATACAAACGTATATTATAAACATATACATTCACCATAATATTGCTTGGTAATGTGAACTAAAATGGGAACTAAAATGTCCTCCGTAGCTTTTAATTTCGCTGCCATATCTCACGACTTGGTTTAAAGTCTACGAAATCATCTGCTAGGAATTTACCTCCAGTGTGATAGCAAACAAGAAAGCTGTTGTTGCCTCTTTCACAGGATTGCTTGTTCCTCATAATATTACAGACAATGAATTTATTTTGCAGGTGCTAACATTGCGGCTGTTACCCGTGATGGCTTGACACCATTGCATTGCGCAGCTCGCTCTGGACACAGTAACGTGGTATCACGGCTGCTACAACACGGTGCACCCATCACTAGCAAAACGAAGGTATCACTTATTTCCACCTGTATAGTCATTCTCATTAATATATTTTATTATATAATAATAATAATACCCCTAGACAATTTACACTACGCCATCTAATCCCAAGACAAGCAGAGCTTATTATGGGTACTAGACAACTGATATATATGTTTTTTGTATATATACACATAGAAAACACCAAGACCGTTATGAACAATCATACTCATAAATATAAATATTTGTATTGTGCTAGGAATCGAACCCACAAGCGCGGCTCATAAATTATGAATGGATTAAAAAGTAAACAAGTTGGCAGCTCACCCAGTGGAAGATGAATTATATCATGCACGTCACAAAATAAATTGTGATACTTATCACTAACACTAATGTGTTGTTATTTCTGTGGACTATGTTATTATGTCATATACAAAGTAAAATAAATAGGTTAAAAATTTACAGAATTATTAGATAGAAGATCGACTGAATAGTGAAGATCAATTTCTGTGAGAACCAGATACCTACAACTCGTTGTAAATGTAATATTAGATAATTTGTTGTGATTGGTCTTTGCAGAACGGTCTCACCCCTCTCCACATGTCCGTGCAAGGCGAACACGTGGAGACGGCGAAAGTTCTACTCACAGAAGGTGCACCCATCGATGACGTCACCGTCGACTACCTTACAGCATTACATGTCGCGGCACATTGTGGACACGTTAAGGTATTTTTTTATTTTTATTTTTTTAAGGCTACAGTCTTATCACCTTTAGTACTGCGACCTGTATAGATCTATTGTGTTCGCCGCTCTCATCGATCCCCCATCCAATTCAAACGGGGATCGAAATTACGACTGAGCCGAGGTTCCACACTCCTAGTGATGCCCTCAGACTAAAGGGCTACGTCAGGCGGGAGTTGGTATTCAGCCGCTCCATAGGTCCTCCCGTGGGTTTGGAGTGCCATTTGCACTCGCGCCTTATCGTCCAGTGCACCTGTGAAAGCCAGTTGCGACCAACAGCATTAAAGTAATCCGAAAAAAAGCCCTTTTTTAAAGTTCTGTGAGAAACTTTGAACATTGAGACTATATTACATATCATTTAGTTTCTGTTAAGATGTGTCAGTGCCTAGTTGCTTGCTTTTAGTAAAAGTTGATGTAATTAAAAGTTTTGATAAAATCATCATTACAAACCGTACCTGACAAGGATATCGCCATTTATGACATTATATTTTACATTTATATACAAATAATCAAAGTGTAATAAAATTATTTTAATATTTCAGGTTGCAAAGTTATTACTTGATCGAAATGCGGACGCAAACGCTCGCGCGCTCAATGGATTCACACCACTTCACATTGCCTGTAAGAAGAACAGACTCAAAGTTGTCGAGCTTCTACTCAAATATGGAGCCAGTGAGTATATACTGATATAAATTGACTACAATGGAATATTTCATTAGTTTTCAGATAAGTTTAAGTACATGATACTGCGAACTGATTACAGACTAGACCAATTTTTCAATCTACCATAACATACTTGTATTGTAAATCGAAGATTGTGACTGTCTGTTTTTAACTTGTCACTAAACTTAGATTCAAGTATTATCTTATAAGATAAAAAGATAAGTACTGACCATTACAAGAAGAGCGAGCATAATGAAAATTGGTGTGAAGACAGATTGTAAATAAAATATTTATATAAAAAAATCTTTTATATAAAAAAAAATAATCTTGAAGGCAGTCAAATTGGGATAAGAGTTTGTGTAGACGAAGTATTGGATCACACCTAATTACTCATAATTCACTTGTGGTATTGATCGTGTACGTTACTTTACGGTTACTTTCATCAGAAGATGCTGCTATATTGCAATGCAAGTCTTGACCACATTTCTGTCTGTGGTAGGCAAATCAGCGACGACGGAGTCAGGTCTGACGCCGCTGCACGTGGCATCGTTCATGGGATGCATGAACATCGCCCTCGTGCTGCTAGGTGCGGGCGCTGAAGCAGACGCAGCTACAGCACGCGGCGAGACGCCACTGCATTTGGCTGCCCGCGCTCACCAGACCGACCTCGTGCGTGTGCTACTCAGAAACGGTGCTAAGGTAACTACTTATTTTTTATTTTACTTTACGACATTCGGATTCTATAGGTAACTGATCTACCACATCTATATTATTATGATGCCTTAATAATATGGAAAACCCGAAATTGGAAAAATATTCTTGGCTTAGTAGTGTGACAAAAATGGTAACTAACATTCGTAGAATGAATTCGTTGAATATTTAGTATTCACCCCTTAAATCTACACCCAGGTCACAAATCTGGAGTGCTCGGAGTTTCTCTACCACATGATGGGCCTGTCAATCGCACGTTGAATCCATGGAGGTTAAGTTCGTCTCATGTTTTATGCAGGCGAACATTCGAGGGCGTGTTCTGGTTTATTAATATGTATAGAGGTTGTGATGAGTGGTGTGGGGTGCAGGTGGAGGCGCGCGCGCGCGAGGAGCAGACGCCGCTGCACGTGGCGGCGCGGCTCGGGCACGCCGACATCGCGGCGCTGCTGCTGCAGCACGGCGCGCACGCCGCCGCCGCCACCAAGGACCACTACACGCCGCTGCACATCGCCGCCAAGGAGGGTACGCTCACTACTTACACGTCTCCACCATACCTACACCTTAGCTGCCTTACCGCGACACATTCTTTCACGCGCGATTAGAACCGCGCGCACTTTGGTGCGGTCGTGAGTTTACTATTTTTTGTGTCCAATCCTTCGCGCGTGATAGCGGGTATGTCTCATGTTATTTCACTATCGTATAATATTATGTTTTTATTCTACAGATCTTATTTTATAAAGACACGTTTAAGATTTATAGATTATCGATAACTCTATACCTATAACTATCTCTTACTTAAATTACCTGAAATAAAAAAAAAACACTTTAAGAGCTTAAAAAGATTTGTCTGCTAAAATTTCATAAATATCATTAGGAAAAGAAGAGGTAGCGTCCATTCTTCTCGACCACAATGCACCAATCGAAGCAGAAACCCGTAAAGGCTTCACGCCACTGCACTTGTCCGCCAAGTACGGCGACATCGGCGTCGCTCGCTTGTTGTTGTCTCGTGGTGCACAGCCTGATGCACCAGGCAAGAGTCACATCACTCCGCTACACATGGCCACCTACTACGGACACCCGGATATAGCTTTACTGCTACTCGATAAAGGTACGTATTATCAGAGTAATTAGATTCAATTTAGTCTGGTTTAAGTTATGGAAACTATAGAGATATTTGTGCTACTCAACAAATATATTTATTATTTGGATAATTATATTTCAAGTTCCTCTGATGTATTTTGTGGAATACTGTTTATATGTATGTGGTTTGGGCTTATAATCAATCATATAAATAAATTCCTTAATTTATTGAATTGTTTTCTGTAGTCTGTAGTGTTTTTTTTATTTTGTATAGGTGCATCTCCACACTCTCTCGCCAAAAATGGTCACTCCGCGCTTCACATCGCCTGCCGACATAACCACCCCGATATCGCTTTCGCACTACTCGAACATGGTAAGTCCTTGTACATTATTTTTTATGAACAATTTTTCACCAACGACTTGTTGATAATAATTTCTAAACTTTATAAACCGCGTGATTTCATATTAAAGAAGGAATTTAGTATGAATTTTTACTTGTACTTTTATTGTAATGAAAACAGAAAATGGTAGTCTATAGAAATTTATAAGTTAGCGTTGTGTAAAATTTGACATTTATGCAGTTAAGAAATATTCAGTAAAAAAAAGATACTTCAAAAAGATGACTACAAGTAGTTTAATATTACACTGGTAGAAGTAGGTAAATTTCGGGAAGTTTACAATTGATGTTTTCTTTGTAGATGCGGACCCAAGTGTCAAGTCAAAGGCAGGTTTCACACCACTGCATATGGCTGCTCAAGAGGGTCATGAGGATTGCGTCGAAATGCTCATAGAACGAGGTGCTGATGTAAATGTTCCTGCTAACAATGGTGAGTATTTATTATTTTAATAATGACTATTTGTTGAGTTTTTTTATAATATTATTTCGCGTCTTTGTTGCCGGACGATAATGATTTTCAAACTTAATACTTAATAAAGTGTTGCGATAGAACCACTAATGTGACTTACTTTGGATAATAGGTAGCCAGCCATCACACCCATTCCCTCAGTTCCTACAATACTAATACTATCGCCGGTTCCCATTGAATATTTTCGATCTTTGGCTGATTTAACTTATGCCTCCATTGTGCCGCCAAGATGTTATTGTAACTACGAACCAGTGGTGTGTACCGTTATATTAAACGGCGGCGGTGGCCGCAGGTCTGACAGCGGTGCACCTGGCGGCGGGCGAGGGCCGCGCGGGGGCGCTGGCGGCGCTGCTGGCGGCCGGCGGGCAGTGCGGCGCGCGCACCCGCGACGGGTACACGCCGCTGCACGCCGCCGCGCACCACGGACACCTCGCCGCCGCGCGCGCGCTGCTGCAGGCCCAGGCCGACGTCGGCGCCAGGGCCGCGCACGGGTACGGACACTACACGCACACGGTCACAGGTACACGCCGCGCACCACGGACACCTCGCCGCCGCGCGCGCGCTGCTGCAGGCCCAGGCCGACGTCGGCGCCAGGGCCGCGCACGGGTACGGACACTACACGCACACGGTCACAGGTACACGCCGCGCACCACGGACACCTCGCCGCCGCGCGCGCGCTGCTGCAGGCCCAGGCCGACGTCGGCGCCAGGGCCGCGCACGGGTACGGACACTACACGCACACGGTCACAGGTACACGCCGCGCACCACGGACACCTTGCCGCCGCGCGCGCGCTGCTGCAGGCCCAGGCCGACGTCGGCGCCAGGGCCGCGCACGGGTACGGACACTACACGCACACGGTCACAGGTACACGCCGCGCACCACGGACACCTTGCCGCCGCGCGCGCGCTGCTGCAGGCCCAGGCCGACGTCGGCGCCAGGGCCGCGCACGGGTACGGACACTACACGCACACGGTCACAGGTACACGCCGCGCACCACGGACACCTCGCCGCCGCGCGCGCGCTGCTGCAGGCCCAGGCCGACGTCGGCGCCAGGGCCGCGCACGGGTACGGACACTACACGCACACGGTCACAGGTACACGCCGCGCACCACGGACACCTCGCCGCCGCGCGCGCGCTGCTGCAGGCCCAGGCCGACGTCGGCGCCAGGGCCGCGCACGGGTACGGACACTACACGCACACGGTCACAGGTACACGCCGCGCACCACGGACACCTCGCCGCCGCGCGCGCGCTGCTGCAGGCCCAGGCCGACGTCGGCGCCAGGGCCGCGCACGGGTACGGACACTACACGCACACGGTCACAGGTACACGCCGCGCACCACGGACACCTCGCCGCCAGGGCCGCGCACGGGTACGGACACTACACGCACACGGTCACAGGTACACGCCGCGCACCACGGACACCTCGCCGCCAGGACCGCGCACGGGTACGGACACTACACGCACACTGTCACAGGTACGCTACATGCGCATCATAGCCTTTTTGCGCACGGGTACACATAGTATACGTGCACGAGCAACTCGACGGTTACACGCCACTCTTGATCGTGTGGATGGACCTCACCGCCAGGGCCGCACACGAATACTCCTAATATACGTACACTGTACACAAAGCAGATGATCATGCTGTCGCCTCTAGGGCTGCGCACATATAATCCTAGTACACTGTACCTACATCGTGACGTGTACACTAAGCTACTGCTACTGACGTTTTACTGTTCGCCAAGGCCGCACACGGGTGCTCCGTGCACGTGCACTGCACGTGCACCGCGACCGGTACACGCCGTTGTTGATCGCTCGGGAAGAGACCTCGCCGCCAGGGCCGCTCACGTATAATCTTAGTACCCTAGTATACATACACTGTACGCGCACCGTAACGGGTACAACAAGCTGATGATCGCATGGACGTACGTAGGAGCTGGGAACACATACCCGTAGTATATATACATTGTACGCTCCCGCGACGGATACACGGAGATACTAGGATGTGGAACATTAAAATTTAAAACTATTTTATAACTGTTGGACTTATTCAAAGAATTTCATAATATATATATACAAGTTTTTGTAAAGTAAAAATATATAGTAATAATAAAATTATTTAAAAGAGCAACACGCAAGTTTCTTGCTCGTACTTCTTATGATGAGACAGCTTTCCGAATGAGCGGTAGATTAAAAAAATGTAATGACTATTCAAAAATGCTTCAATGTAAGTTTATTTGAATAAATGATCTATTCTATTCTATCCTGCAAAAAGTCCTCGAGTTTGAGGTGAAACACCATCATTATCTCACAAATTCTCTTACCAACGGACGTATCATGCTATACCGGTGCAAGCATTGTAGTGCACGTAACGAGGCGCCACATGCACTAAATACGATCGTATTTTTTTCTCCCCATTAGTCTATAATAATTTTCAATATAACAAGGTAATAGACTAAAATTGTTTCACTACAATCCATCCATTAAATTATAGAATTGTACATCGTCTTTTTAAAATCAGTTAAAGCTGCTTGAGTGACTTATTATTTTTATTTCATAGGTTGACACCTCTGCACCAGGCGGCTCAACAAGGCCATACTCTCATCATTCAACTGCTTCTGAAAAACAACGCTGATCCTAATGCATTATCCGCTGTAAGTATTCGATTATATTCTAGTACTAGTTACATCACGATTATATAGTCTATAGCATTAATCCAATAAAACAATATGATTTTGTGAATAATTCGTAATAATTTAATTAATTTGTCATCTTTAGTAATATTAACATGGTGTTACCTTTAAAAAATATGCACGCCTAACACAAAACTTTGAAAATCGGCTCAAGAACCATCCAAAAATCAAATTTATAAAAATCTTGATAGAGTATTCTCATATTACAAACCGGTCGATAACATGATATAGATGAAGAGTGCAATCTTATTTCGATTCGACATTTTTAAACATCCCATACAATTAGTACCAATATACCCCATAAAACAATCAGCAATGTTTAAAAACAGACCATTAACAGATAGAACTAATAATGAATCTGTAGGTATGTTAATACTGATAATTTTTCAATATAAAACCACTTGGATTCTTCCACAAACAACATTTGATCACGTAACAACCAAATTTGCCATTTTAATGTTGTACCCATAATTTATTTCAATATATTAATTTCGTTTATCTCTGAGCAATCACGATATCATGAAATAAGTATCCATGATTTATCTTCAAGTCAAGTTTGTTACAGGTTAAATAGTGCATCATGCACTTGCATGACCCGTCTTTGGTAACAAATACTTAATCAATATTTGTAGATTTATGTATAGATGGTACAAGTTTAGATGGTAATTGATAGTAAAATATGTCTCATATATCTCGACATCATATTTACCTATTCATAGGAATAGACGCGTAGTATGCGTCTATATTTCTCACAAAGTAGTGTTTAGTAATTGTGGAATTAGAATTATTAGCGTTGCTCGCTCACAAACATCAAAATAATCTCGACTTGAAAACATCAATGTAGATAACATTAGTTTAAAGTGGGTAATTTTAATTATAACTTTTATTAAAACCAGTTTTACAAATTTGACTGATCGTATTGCGAAAATTATGATTTATGCACATTTTCAGCGATTGGGCCACCCATTGTCGCCTCTTTATCTTGCACATTGTTGTATGTTTATACATATATACATAATAGTCTATGTAATTGTATTTGTTTGTTTATATATGTTTACTGACAGTAAGTTTACTTTCACTTTGGATATTTTAAAATGCTGAATAAATTTAAGAATGTTCTAATAAAGTCTCAGGCACTTATTTTAAAGTACACATTATGTTTAATTTGTGTAACACATTGGAAAAAGATTTGTTTGGATGGCTATCATCTACAATAATCTCCTTTTAATCCTAACTCACGTGACCAAAACCACAATTTAAAGCTAGTATGTAACAAGAATTAAAACTGCCCATATCATCTTATTATTAAAATTATAAACCCGAAAGTTTGTGACTATGAATGGATGTTTGTGATTCTTTAACGCAAATACTACTGGACGGATTTTGTTACAACTTTATAGTAATATAGCTTTAGACTAACACATATGCTATAAATTGCATGCGGGTGAAATCATAGGCACCTAGTTTTTAATAAGATTTACAATTGAAACTAATAAAAAATCTTTGTTATTAAATTAATCGCTGTATCCACTTTATATTTTAAATATTTACCGTTATCTATAAAATGTGAATATAAAAGTATAAGTCTGTATATCAATTAATGATTGTGATGTCATTAGAACGGACAGACTGCCTGCGCCATCGCGGACCGGCTGGGTTACATCAGCGCTGTGGAAGCACTACGACCTGTGACCGAAAATACACTCAGTCAAGCTGTTGGCGATACTGGTAAGTACATGACCACCTTTCATTTATAGTGTTACCTTATATGTAACTGGTACTTTCATCTTCGATCGATCTCTCGTCTAATCAGTGGAAGTTTGAAAATCTAGCTATCTCCTAAGACTAAAGTTGTATCCGTTAGGCAGGAGTAGGCTTTCAGCCGTCCTATAGGCCCTTCCGCGAGTTTGTCGTACCATTTTCACTTACCCCCTATCGTTCGATGAAGTTGTAAAGGCTAACTACGGCCAACAGAATTAGAATAGTTTAAAGAAAATTACTTAAAAACAAAATAAGGTACTTAAAAGTATTAAAATAAAAGTACTCTTTAGACATCTATAAATATGCTACTTCAAGATAGTTTTTGAAACATTCGACTTCGGTTGGAGCAATTGCATTTAAGAATATATTGCACGACTTTGTTTGTGCATGCGCCGGCGCAGATCTTTGATCTAAATATATGCGTATTACGCAACTACCTCTAATGATTATTCGTCAAATCGTGCGTAAATTGAAAACTGGTTACTTGCCAAATAAGTACCTATATATACATATAATTTCTTTATTATAATTATGATATCATCGTAAAATTCACGGGCAAATTTGTGTTCTTATAAACTTATTAAAAAATATATAATGCTTAAAGTAAATAAACCTGGTTCGTATTAACACCGACTCCTTTGCTATGCTTTTTATTTGGTACTTGTATTATGTTTTCCAATTGACTGCCAAAAGGAAGTTTACAATTACTTTCATAGATCTATAGAATATGCGATTTCTTTATGACCTATTAAGATATTTTTTTGAAATCGCTTCCATGTATAGGGTCCTATAATTAAATCGCCTGGGCATGAATGCAGTTTTTTAAATTAAAATTACGATATTTTGTTAGCAACTGTTGAATGGGAAATGACATGGCGAGTGTGTAAAGAAGTAGACCAAACCATTTTTATTTCCTACGACAAAAGCAATGTAATGTTATATGCAATATAGTTTTTGCAAGTTTAAGTTTCGTGCAAATGCTATGAATTTTAGGTTTTAGTAGTTTTCGCTTGATATTGACCGAAGACAACAGTTTCATTAAGTACCTATTATTTAATCAAGGAAACATACGATTTCATTACGTAATCCCCAAATGTACAATCTGTATCGGCCTAGAGCTTGTTATCATATGTGTTTTTGTTTCGCAATGTTTTTCTGGACATTAAAGAGTACCATTACATATTCTATCAGCTAATATAAATTTATAAATCGAATATAGGTTGCCGGGCCAAGTTCTGGGCCTATTAAGTCAAATAAAATACATTTTTTTTATATCACCGCATTTCCTTATTTTAACTTAAATTATAAATTTTATTTTCAAATCAATATCACAACTTATTAATTGGTATTTGTTTTATTGTTAGCTGAATATTCCGTTAATGTAATTAATTTCTCTATAACTGAAATGTGAAGTTTTTTTTTTAGTTATTGACGCGTTTATAATGTGACAGTGGGGACATTAAGAAATAGGGTTGCGGTACCTCAACAAGTAGAATATAATGATCTAACTAAATTGCTTTTGAATTTCGTTTCTAAAAGAGGAAATATAAAATATCAATATATTTAGTATTTCTGTGTGGGGGAACATTCAATTATATCAAAGCAAGAACGGTACAAGTAGTTTCATAGTAAGACTATTAATTCTCATGCAAATTGAGATACCTGCGTCATTTATTTTTATGCCTCTGTATATATTTATATAAGTTTGTCATTATAGGATATTTTAACGTTAAATTAAAATCATTTTATTAGACATTAATGTCAGGTGTTAGGTCATTCGACACAGCAGAATTTGCATTAAAATGAATATAATTAACCGCTTAGGTAATTGATTTCTTTGCGATGTCATTTACTAAATCTAGAATCTTGTAATGTAATGTAAATTGAACTCTGTTTTCGGCATTTAGCGTCGCATTTGGAACGTAATGCGAATCTAGACATTTATTTGTATTTAAAAATGTAGGCAATTAAGTATGCTTACGTATTCTGCATTCCGTATTGCTGTATAAGTATTAGTAGTACCACGACGTCATAGGATGGTGTGAAGCTCGTGATAGTGTTCATGTATGTTTATAGCCGATAGTTACCACTTACCATTAGGTTGCCTTTGAATAAATTACTATTTCATTTCATAAAAAACTACTATTTAATTTAATTGCTATATGTGTATTGTTATAATTATTATTTGCATGCATATTGTAGCTAATTGGAAATGCACTTGTCATGAAATACGGGGTCGTGGCCTGTCGAAAAGGTTTGATTACAGGATTTTTGAAAAATATTCGTTATATAGGCGTTCATAGTCTGGATCATCATTATTGTCATCATCATCATTGCCTTGACTTTATCCCATTATTTGAGGTCGGCGTAGTAGTATATCATCTTCTTCTATCTATTCCGATCCACAGTCTTTAGTTATCGCACGTAATCTTTGGCAGTTTACAGGAAGCAAGTCCTGAGCACCCGGGCGAAGCGAAGTTGAGCCACTAGTAATCATGATACAATACAATCATAATAATTTTATAAAAGTGAAACCTTGTGATGGGTGGGAAAGGGGATTGCTAGTAATGTGATTTTATTGCTCATCATCATCTTATCATCCTCCTTCCTGGTGCCCTGCCACCTTAAACCGTTAGAGCAGATGGGTGCATCATGCAATTATCATCCATAAAAAACCTTATAATGATACCTAGATATTTTAATGTCTGAATATTTATGACACAATCAATCTTCTGACGAGTCTATATGGTTATGTCATTCAAATGAATCATAGCTGATCAGATTGACCTAACTTTACAACATATCATAAAAATATTCGTAATCTGGTTATTTTATGTTACAAAGTCTGTACAGAAGGGGTCGTGGTTCAATTGCTCTTTAGATAAGTAGCCGTATTCATAAGACATTTTAAATTTAATTTGAAGTAATTATAACATATTATAGACTTACCTACTGTTGTGTACATATATATATTAGCTATTTTATTTATGTAATTATTCTAGTTATTTGGAATTTGTATTTATCGCATTATTTTATATACATGAACACTAATGAACAGTTACTACGGATATTATGTGACACCCGTGATACCACTCATGCGTTGCCAATATACAGTACTAATATGTCTTATCTCTTATAGTATAATTTCACTGTATTTTCTCACTCTTAAAAGTAGCTGCTGATCGAGACGGACGCAGACAACTTTTTGCAGTCTATCTCGGTGTAGTTATAAAGACCGGTGGTGAAGAAATTGTTAATAATGAGGACTAGAGGTCTCACTGTTGGCAATATACCAGGTCGACCTTAGTGCTGTGTTTAATAGTTTATAATACAATTTTCGAAAATCCCGACGGGGGTTCCTCAGATTTAAAATTAGGGCAAAGGCGTTCATCGCTTACCTTTAAGGGTGTGAAGAAGCCCTGTGCAGGCAACATCATTATGTAGAATTTTTGTATACATACAATGTAAGCTATTGTATCTATTTTTAATTTGTATACAAACATCACATATTAATATTCTATAACAACTATTTTTTCATTTCAATCTACTTTTCTGGCATTTGCCCAAATTGCTTTTGTTAGTATAACAGCGACATAGTGTCAGAGACTCATTTGTATCAACTTTACTAACTGAACGCCTCTAATGATGAAATGTTAATCTGAGAAACATAATTTAACCTGAAATTTGGAATATTCTTACAATCCGTTTAACACTACGAATACGAGATGGACAACCGTGATGTTGTAACGCATTAGCACACCGTCTTAATTCCAATGGTCACGGATTTGATTCCTTGCACGGTACAAACATTTTATATTCTTGAGTATGATTGTTTATATCGGTTTGGGTATTTTGTATATATAATATGGTATATATTTGCGAAAAAAGATACATCTATGTATTAGAATTAGTTATCTAGTGTACATAACACAAGCTTTAGCTAGCGTACCATAAGTCTAGATGGCGCTGTGTGAATTGTCCTGAGATTATAATTATTATTTATATACAAATATAAAACCAATATCTGTTTATATAAAAAAAAAACTATCCAATAACTAATAGCACCATCTTGTACACTCAGAATTATATCATTTTCCTCTGAGTAATTTGAAATAGTGATATAGAATTAACTGACTAAATAAAACAGTAAGTAAACCGGATTCTCAATGTGACAACCTCGTTCAAGTTATTTCAGTTTCATAAATTGAAACGTTAGCAGAATAAGCACGTCTATATTTAAAATACGGTTGGAAGGAAATACTAACTACAAAATTAATCTTAATGACCATCATATACAGTTCAATTTTAAACGTCACCAAAATCAGCCATATAAATAAATTTCTTCTGCTTAATTTCGATATCATTAGCATTTGCGTCCGCGATCACTCATAATATTAATAGCTATATGTACATACATACTATTATTAAATAATGATAAAATTATAATTATGTACTATGAAATTAATATTATTTTCATTATGAGATTAAGTTTGAGAGAATTTCTGATCACTAATGACTAATTTATTTTGTTATTTATAGAAATGAATTTTATTATATATAAAAGCGGAACATTTCTAACGGAAATTACAGCAAACATCCTAACTCACAAACTGTATCTCTGTAATATATGTATATATATATTGGGTTCCATCAGCATACAATATGACCAGTAGCAACCATTATTGTAAGCAAATCAATCAATTTTCTTATGCAATGAGCATGATAATGCATAATTGAACATTGTCGTATATACATATCAGGGACACTATATATGTATATATATTTTATAGATTCTAGTAAACACATTGAGTACTTAGAAATGTAATAAATTTATAAATATATGTATGAGTCACTTCTTAATAGGACGTTCTTGGTATATTTCATTTTGAGTAATTTTAAAAGAGATTGATTGACATTGTTTTGTTTTATATTGCAAAAATGTATTTTTATATTTAGCTATTAATTTA